TTTCTTAGCATTCTAGTTGTATTCTAGAAAAAAAATAAGTACCATCTGTGTTATCAAGAGAGTAGCCTAGGAGTTGTTTCCAAAAACTAAGTGCCTTCATTCTGCATGAAACTTGGCTGAGGTTTCCCCCAGAGGTCCACGCAAGCATGTGTTTTACTCTCTGATTTGGAGAGTACGTTCATGTGTCTCTCTGCAAGTAGCATCTGCTTTGACAGGTGAGGATTCCTCATACTTTTGACTGCTACTGCATCCTGTTCCCAAAATGACATTAATCCTCTTTCTGTCATTTTTATGTATAAGTACTTCTTGGTTGTAGAGAAGGGAGTAAACTTTCCAATTTTCCTCTCACTTGTGTTTTCTTTGCTTTTCTGTTCCAAAGCTAATTTCTCATTAGGTCTTGAAAAAGAGTTGTGTTGTAGAAGAGACTTCAAAATGGACTGTTGTGTAGTCAGCACCCAATAGTGTGTATTTTTGGCTTGAACAGAGGCTCAAATGTTGGGTGGATGTGAGCCATCCAGGCAGAGAGGTGTTAATTACTTGCTATCCTGTGTACTGGACTGATGTCCCACGATGACAAACCCTAAGAGAGGAACAGAGCTAACTTTGACTTCTCCATTAAGTAAATTCTGGAGTCAAGGTGGAGAATATTAATATGCTTATTTTCAGTTTTGCTTTTTGTCAGGATTAAGGGTTTGCTGTTTTTACAGTGGAGTTGTCTATAATATTTCTATTTTGAATTTTTACAGTATAAACAAGGCATGGGAAAGCTTGTCTTGCATCTTCTTTATAATTCAGGATGCTATTAGGGCCTCGGTTTTATGTGGATTTTTTTTCTTCTTTTAAATATGTCATGGTGAGTTTTTACTATATAAAATAGCAGAGTTGGGATATTTTAGTGAACTAGACTTGGAAGGCAAATATGGTGGATTTATTGATCAAATAAAGACACTGGGGAAAACCTTATGGTCTCTTTATCCTGTTCTGGAAAATGTCTTGATCTGGGAAGAAAACCCCAAGATTCTAACTCTGATTGTCATTGCCCTATTTTCTTTGTCTTATTCCTCATGTGTCCTCAAATATAAAGTCTGTGATGGGACATCTTGCCATTACCAGTGAAGTGACTTTTCATCTGATTTGTTATAATCTGCGAAAGTTCAGTTGATCTTCACTGAATCCTAGTGATTGTCCTAGCTCAAAAAGCTTTCAGGGACTTGCATATTAAAACAGGAGGTCAACTTGATCCTTCAGTCATGGCTAATAAGGTGTTTTCCACTGCTAGGATGTTCCCTGGGCTTTAAACAGAGACAGCCCCTGAGGGAGCCATCGGGGATGGGGAGATAAGGATCACTGCCCCACCTGCTTTAACTGCTTGTGGAGACCACAATGGAATACTTAGCACGGGCGACTCCCACCCTGCAACCCAGGCCATGGACATAGAGCAGCTGCTATTGTGATGTTAGGACTGGGTGGCCGGGTCCTCCCGGCGTGGAGGGAGCGTTGCCATGGAGGGAGCGTTGCCATGGGGGGAGCGTTGCCGCGGAGGGAGCGTTGCCGCGGAGGGAGAGTTGCTGCGGAGGGAGAGTTGCCCTCGTGCGGGGAAGGCCTCAGTGTCATAGCAGCGGTGGCGCTTCCTGACCAAGGTGTTCTCAGTGCAGAGCTGCACCCTGACAGGGGTGTCCTTTTTTGCCTTGGAAGTGCACAGAGTGCAGACTTGTGCAGCACCACTACCATGATCGAGCAAGTGTGTGCTGCAGTTTGCACAGTTTTCTCCGCGGCTTATTCTGGATATTACTTGACCCATCTGGCATGTAAGTCGAGGGATTTCCTCGGTGCTGCACCTCTGGCTTTGGGATCGCTGTGTTCTTTATGGTCTTCCTTAGGAACTGAGCTGATTTTGAACCAAAAATGCCGTGAAGATACCTTTAGTTTGGCAGGGCTCCTATCAACAACTTCAGCTAAAAAAAAGGGGGTGTCTGTTGCCAGCAGGGTGTGGAGAGCATTGGGAATGTGACCTGCAGGACTTCCACTCCCTCTACGGGAGATTCTGTGGCAGCTGAGGCTGTAACTTCCTACGTTTGCTGCTGCTCCAGCGAAAAAAGTAGCCAGAGCCTAGTATTTGTCCTGGTCTCCTGCTTGTGGGGTGTAAAAACTGTTGCTCTTGGGAGGCTGTTGTGAAAGAAAAATCCTCTCTCTCTGGGTTGACTGGTTTCGTGGGATTTCCTAGAAGAGGCTGGTTTTTTCCTCTCAGCCCTGGATAATTTTCCCTCTCCCATTGCAGGTCACCTCATGCACGGATTTCAAGCAGCCTCTGCTTCGGTGAGTGGGAAAGGAAACTTTGATGTTCCTGGCACGTATGACTGTGGAGCAAGCTGTGAGCTTTGCCTGTTGCAGGGGAGTGCCAGCCTGGTAGGCTGAAAGCCAGTCCACGTCTGTCTTTGCAGCAGCAGCAGCAAAGGGATCCCTGTCAGTTTTCTAATTTTTGGTTTAAGAGCTTTTGAGCCACTGCAAGTTTGATTTTACAGTCAGAAGATTGCTTACTGGTTTTAGCCAGGGTGGAATATCTAATTCCCCACAATCTGCAGCACTGTCTGAATAGCCCATTTTTCCTTGGACAAACTTCCTAATCTCATTTCTCCTTAGTCCAGCTGGATCTATAGCTGCAGATAAATAAGGTGATAAAGGAGATGTAACTCACTGTCCCTCATGCTGCTGTCTGTCCACAGAGCAGAAACCCAGCAGCAGCAGCAGCAGCTTGTGGCTCCCTCCATTTCCCAAGTGGAGGCTAAAGAGGAGGAAAATGACACTCAGCTTCCCTCCATCCTGGACGATGACATGGAGCCTTCATTGGATTGGGATGACTTCCAGCCTCCATCTGCTTGGGAAGTCAACATTCAGCCTCCCTCTGGCCTGGAAGATGCCAGTGAATCTGCCTCTTTTGTGGCATTGTGGCCTGGACATTCTGACAGCAGCCCAGACCAGGAATCAGAGGACAGAGAGGAGTGGAGCCTGAGCAAATTGAGTATGTGTGCTGTCTGTCTTGTCTGCTAGAGCAGTGTGCTGTGTGCATATCTCAGCATGAACTGTACCCAATGTTCCTCCTCAGTTTGGTGTCCCTGAGTCTGGTGTGGTGGTTGTTGCCCAAGTGACTGCAGAGAGCCCCAGAGAGCGTGGCTGCATTTTGGATCTGCTGGAAGGCTGTATCTCCCTTTTGGAGTGAGCATCTCTCCTATGGTTTCTTTCAGGGAGCATTGTGAGCGTGGGGGAGCCTGGCAAGAGATACAGAGAATTGGAGGAAATTGGCCAAGGGTAAGTCCATTCCCAGTTACTTCTACCAGACTGGGCTGCCTTTCAGTCCCAGGAACTAAACAGCTTCTCCTTTCTTTGCTGCTGTTTTGATTCTAGGGCTTTTGGAACTCTTTACAGAGCATTTGACACTGGCAGAGGAGCAGAGGTGAGTGTCAACACCCGCAGCAGATTTTGCAGCTCTTGAATGTTTTCCCCTCTGGTGTGAGCTGTGGCTGGAGTTTTGGGAGGCCACTAGAACTTTGCAGCCAAGGCTGTTCCTCTGAAGGGCACACTAGTGTCAGGAGCAAATTCTCTTCCCGCTTGCAAAACGTGTGAATAATAATAGTGGTGGTAAACTGAGGCCATTTGAGAAGAGTGTAGGTGCAGAGAAGGTTCTTTAGAGGTTTGTGGCTGATAGCTGTGAGACCATTTATCCAGAGTTTACAAGGCAAAATGTTTGTGTCCATGTGTCCTGGAACTGGCACCCAAGTAAACAGAGAAATCAGCTCTTGCCATTTTGGTAACTCAGCTCCGATGTCTAACCCCAAGGCAGTTTGGCACAGCTCTGCTCTCTCAGTCCACAAACACTCCATCCGTGTCCGTTGTGGTCTCATGCAAGACCCTTCTCAATTTCATGGCTTTCAATGTTCTTTTAGGTGGCCATCAAGAAAATGAATCTCAGAGACCAGAATAAGGACCGAGCCGTGAATGAGCTCCTGGTGACAAGGGAGCATAAAAATCCCAACATTGTCAACTACTTAGACAGGTGAGTGTTTCTGGTATTCTCAGGGGAATGTTTGTTTACATGCTGCAAGCCAGAGATTGATCTCAGTCTTCCCTAAACTGCATTTTCCCCTTGCCACCTAAGACATCTCCATATTCATGGATGTGCCTTGGCGGATTCCAAGGACTGTATAGCCTAGAGTGAATGTCTCTCCATTTTATATGTCTGCATTTACAAGCAATCAGAAACACAACTCCTCGTTAGTGTTTTCCATGAGGTAATGAAGCTGTGCGGATCCATTTCCATGCCATTGTTTTCTTCCTTCAGCTACCTTGTCGATGAGGATCTCTGGCTGGTCATGGAATATGTGAACGGAGTGACGCTGCAGGCTGTGGTTAGAGAGATCAGGCTGTCTGAAGGAGAGATAGCAGCTGTCAGTCGGGAGGTAAGGGATCCTGCTTGTGCTCCCTGTGTCTGGGACAGGATCGACCTTTGGAGCAGGTGGCAAGACCAGGAGGGGCTTTGTGTTCGGACCTTTGTTTCTGTGCTGCTTTCAGGATCTGGAGAAGAAAGAGCCTCTTGAGTGAGCTGCCTGCCAGGATCACTGCACTTCTAGTCTTATCTGCTCTTGTTGTACTCTCTTTTTATTATTTAATTTTATTATTTTATTTACTCTTCTCAACTTTGCTTGGAAACCTTTGCCTGTGGCATCTGTGCAGTGTATTCCTTACCCGTAAAAGCAAAGGTGCTGATGGCAGAATTCCAAATTGTCCTCAGGTCATTAATTGTTGTCCTCGTGGGTTTTTTTCTCTATCAGTGCCTGAAAGCCCTGGCTTTCCTTCATTCCAAGCAAGTCATCCACAGGAATGTGAAAAGTTCCAACATCCTGCTGGGAATGGATGGATCTGTGAAGCTGGGTAGGTATTCTTGGTCAGGCTCGGCTTTTCCGGGATGCGGTGTGAGGCTGCTTCGGGGTGACTGCCACTTGCCCCAGCGTGGGGCTTGTGGGAGTACACAGGCCTGAGGGAACAGAGCACAGCCGCTTTTCCAGCTAGAATCAATACCTCGTGCTCGGACTGTGAGTGGGGAATTCTTGTGCTGGGTATCCTAGTTCCAGCTGCCTTTAACGGTGTTGGGTTTTGTCCTCAGGTGATTTTGGCCTGTCCGCTCAACTCTCTCCCGTGCTCAGTCAACGCAGCTCCATGGTGGGGACTGCTCAGTGGATGGCCCCAGAAGTTGTGTGCAGACGTGCTTACGGTCCCAAGGTGGACATCTGGTCCCTTGGGATCGTGGCAGTGGAGATGGTTGAAGGAGAACCACCCTATTTCAAGCAAACCCCAGCCATAGTAAGAAGCAAATTTTCAAGTGTTTGCACTGGCCTTTGTGTGCACAGAGGGACTGGGTGTTGGGATGAGCAGTTGTATGTTTCTGCACATGGTGGAAGGGAATTCCCAGAGGACTCGAGCCTTAACACAGACGAATCCTCCTCCTTCTCAGGCAACAATTTGCTTTGGGTTTGAAGTTGTTGCAGCTCTTGTGCCAGTGGAGACTGCAGCTTACAAAATGAGGTGGCTGTGAGCAGTTACAGGTGTGAAAGAAAGTCTTGCAATCTCGTGTTTCTTTTTTCCTCCAGGCTCGCTGTCTGATCCGGGAGAATGGGACCCCACAGCTGCAGAAGCCCAGGAGCCAGTCAGCCTTCCTGCGTGACTTCCTGGAGTGCTGCCTGGAGGTGGAGGAGGAGTGCCGCTGGTCTGCCGAGGATCTGCTGCAGGTAACATGCCAAGGGGCTGCAGGTGAAACAGCGACCGAGGATTGGGTGTTCTCACAGCTAAGCTCATGGGCTGCCCTCCCTCCAATTAATGCCCAGTCTTGGTGCTTTTCCAGTGAAAAGTAAGCAAAATCCTAGACTGCTTTGGCTTGGAAGGGGCCTTTCAAGGTCACCTAGAGCAGCTGCCCACAATAAGCAGGGGCATCTTCAAGTAAATGAGGTTGCTCAGAGCCCTTTCTCTTAAGTTTAACACCATTCCCCCTTGTCCTATTGCAGCAGAGCCTGTGAGGAACTCCAGTTTGGAAAGTAATGGTTTATTTCTTTTTTCGCTTTTTGTTTCTGTTGTCCTTTGGGCAGCATTCATTTTTATCCTCAGCCAAGCCCCTCTCCAGCCTGACTGCTCTGATTGTCGCAGCAAAGAAATTGAGGGAGCAGCGGCGATGCAGCGCTTAAGGATGACTTTCCGCCGTTCCAGTTCAGTAGTTTTGCAATAAAAGTTCTGTTAAACCTTAGCTCCTTTGCAAGATTCCCTCCCTTCTCACCCTGCAATTCAGCTGTGCAGAGCAATGCGAGGTGACAGTGGGCTCAGCCTCACCCAGTGCTGAGCCCCAGCAGAGCCCTGGCAGAGCACAGAGCAGCCTCAGCATCCCAGAGCCAGGCTGGAAGGAGGCACTTGTAGCAGCATGCAGGAAGCCCTGGGTGTTTGCCTCTTCTGGAGACTGGACTACGGCTCCCATCTCAGAGCCAAACGGGGCGTGGGCTGCACTGGAGGGAAATCGTTGCCAAGTCGGAAAATGCATGGACAGGTGGGATTGTGCATCTTGAATCTGCACGGGAGGAGAGAAGGGCAAAATGGAGCAGAGCAGGGCAAAATGGAGCAGAGCAGTGGTGTCACTTCTGAGGATGCCTCCTCTTGTCCTGGTTGTCTTGTCATTCCTGGGAAAGGTTAGTAGTGTCTGCAGCCCTGTAGGCAGAGGGGGAGGGAGCCAGGCTGCTCTGCAGGCTCGTGCTCAGCTGAGTGTCCTTGAGGCACATGAGTCCTGCCCTGGGAACTGAGGTGGCTGCAAGGGAGTAACACCTGTGCACCTGATCCGGATAAGGACATCTAGCCCCCTCTCTTTGGGAAGATGACATCCAGCCTCCCTCTGTCATGGAAGATGCCTCTTTTGTTAATAGGGAGTGATGGCATTTTCAGATTTTAAGAGATGTACAAAGTAATTCAATCACTTCTGCAATCCTGTTTTGCCTTTTTTCTTAATCTCTCTTGGTGATTTCTACTCTTATTTAGCAACATACATTACTTGTGGGATAATGGAATCCTCTGGAAAGGTTATTCGATATTGCCACAATGTAAGTAATGATACCTTTGCTAAAACCTTGTCCATCACACAGTTCATGCCTTTTGACTTTTTGTCCCAGGTGGAGACTGACTTCTGTCACATCAACAGGAAAATGGACAGATGACCCACTATGAAATTGGACTGACGACCTTGGCAAACTTTGATTTGCTGCTGTGCTGTAACTACCTCTCATCAGGCTGACCTTCTTACCTTGAGGGCCTTCAATGGCCTTCTGCTAGTTGCAAGCACTTACTGTCAGGCATTGGTGTTCTCCTCAGGACAATGCACTGTTAATTTCTGA